TGAAGACGAGCCATGTGTATATGTCAGAACCAGTGGGAGTGTTGTAATCTTCCATATATTGTATGTTGATGACATACTGCTTATAGGAAACGATATCTCGGTACTTCAGAGTGTCAAAGCTTGGCTGGGGAATTGTTTTTCCATGAAAGACATGGGAGATGCAACTTATATATTGGGCATCAAGATCTACAGAGATAGATCTAGGCGGCTAATTAGGTTAAACCAAAGTACATACATAGATAAGGTCTTGAAGAAATTCAAGATGCATGACTCCAAGAAAGGGTTCATACCTATGGTTCATGGTGCGGCGCTGAGTAAAAGTCAGTGTCCTAGTTCCACTGAGGATCTAGAAAAGATGAGTCGGGTTCCGTATGCATCTGCTGTGGGATCGATCATGTATGTCATGATATGTACTAGACCTGATGTATCGTATGCCTTGAGCATGACAAGTAGATATCAGGCCAACCCTGCGAAGCCCATTGGACAGCGGTTAAGAACATTCTCAAGTACATGAGAAGGACAAAAGATATGTTCTTAGTCTATGGTGGCCAAAAGGAGTTGTGTGTAAAGGGCTATTCAGATGCCAGCTTTCAAACAGATAGAGATGATTSATGCTCTCAATCAGGATTYGTGTTTTTGTTAAACGGAGGAGCAGTTACTTGGAGAAGTTCCAAGCAAAGCACCGTAGCCGATTCAACAACGGAGGCTGAGTATATTGCAGTCAATGAGGCTGCAAAGGAGGCCATGTGGATGAAGAAATTCATTACGGATCTCGGTGTGGTTCCTAGCATTGAATATCCGTTAGAGATCTTCTGTGACAATGAGGGTGCAGTCATCTTGGCTAAAGAACCCAGGTCACATAAGCGCACACGACATATACTCAGAAAGTTTCATTACGTCCGGAAGGTTGTTGAAGATGGAAATATCATCATTAGTAGAGTCGACTCAAATAGGAACTTGGCTGATCCATTCACCAAGCCCCTGCCTCAGACCAAGCATGATGCTCATACTAGGTTTATAGGCATTAGAGTCGAAAATGATATTTGATTGTATTTTTTTTAGTTGATTTGAGATATGGAACTGAAGCAGTATTACTTTAATATGTGGCTTATTGATATTTTATATGCTTAGAGCAGTCACTTCATCACTGTATTACTGTGTTCCAAATTTGCATGTTTTATACTTCCTTGAATACTAGGTTATTCAAAAATCTCCACAGTCGGTTGTTTATCTAATGGAAGGGATGAACGAATTAAGACTAAAGTGAGGTGTAAGTTGATATCCATAAATATGGATATAGCATTAGAATGCAACTACACTCACGTGGACTTGACAGAGATCAAGTCTTGGAGYGATCCGTACTTAGAGATTACTTCATGGTTTCAGTCACGAGTAACTCTAAGATGGTAATATCGATTGTCCTAAAGTAGAGATGCATGAGATTCCTGACATGAAGTCAGTTGTGCTTTGACCATACTCCAACGTTGTCCGTAACAGGATGACCATAAAGGGTATGATCAGGTATGACATGATTAGTGGGGAAATCTATGTAGTCAAAACTATTTGTTCCTTTCACCTAGTAGTGAAAGCGATATCCCTGGGCCCCTTGATGATTTGGTGCTGACGCTAAATGTATGGCCATACTTGGACTGAATTGATATTGAATCAATTATACAGTCTATTTTAGGTCACCACAAATCTTTATCAAGAAACACAATCTTGAACGAGTTATAGATTGACATTAAACCATGTCTTACGTTCATACATATGGATATCTAGAACAAAAGGGATATTTGATCACTTACCTAAAGGACTGTTCTCAAAACCATCTGGTATTGATTACAGTGATGTTGTCTTGGATGATACATCCATGCTCACTTTAACGTGACAACATGACCACTGTCTTGGTCATTGAATTTGTTGAGAAATGTGCAAGTGGGAGTCTGTTGGAGATATGCCCATTGTCACAACATAATTCACATTGCATGCTCCTATTGGGTCGCACGCAAAGTCCAAAKAAGGTGCAAGAATAAAACGTAAGGGACTAAGTTTGTAAACATCATGTTTGATGGTTTAAATTAGAAACTTATAAAAGATATAAGTCATCCTTAAAATACTTTGTAAATTGAAGGGTTTAACTTGCAATTTACCAAAGTTAGAGGGGTTGATTTGAAACTTTGAGAAAGCACTCAAGTATGCATGGCATGGGGACTTGTGCCACTTGAGTGGCTCTCTTTTTCTTCTCCTCTTTATGGTTTGGCCGTACCATACACATACACACAAGAAAAGTTCTTTTTTTCTCTCTACACACACACTAGTGTGTGTTCTTGGTGTTCTTGGTGTTCTTGAGCCAAACTTGAAGAAGATAGGGGACTTTTTGCACCTATACTTGGAGCTTTGGGTGTGAACACATAGAGGAACTCTCCTTTTGGGTTCTCCTTGCAAGTGAAGGTCGAAATTCTTTCTCTATCTCTTGTTATGTTGCTTAATCTCTTGTACATTGGATCCTTTTCTTGTTGGATGGTTATTATGTTTTTTGCTTCCGTTGCATGTATATTTTTTTTGTTATAACCATCCTCCAACACTTAGTAAGGTTGGAAAACCGAAAGTCTTTAGTTGTGGCCACTTTGTGGCAAGACCGTGGTCACATTTCGCACGACGTAGCTTCGAGGGAAGGGAATCGTGTGGGGTTATTTTGTGACAAGTTATGTTAACCATATAAGTTACTGTCATACTCTTAGGAAAAGTTTGCACCCATGCCCACTTTTTATTATTAGTTATTGATTAATCTAGAAAAACTCCCAAAATATTTTTTTTCTTCTCTAATTGAAATTGGTGTATTCTCGACTTAGTACTCGAAACTCTGAAGTGTAATCCCTGTGGATATGATCTTGGTATTTTTACCACTTTATTACTTGAAACTGTTCATAGTAGTTGGTGTGCACTTGCACCACTATTGTGACACATTTACGTGTGCGTATTTTTTCTATCAAGAGGCTTCCACTTGTAAAGGTGCATAACAAATTTTGGGTGGGAAAGCTTGAGTGCAAATCTTCAAAGTCTTCACGGGTGATAAGTGTTGATCTTTGGAGAGATAACTTCATAGATAGTTGGATCTTCTGAAAAGTGGCTTCAGAGCTCTAAAGTGCTTCTGATTAAGCTAATCAAAGACTCGACACTTAAAAATATTCAGAATCTATCAATATATTTTTACATAATAAACTAGGGCTAACATAAAGTCAAAGATCCAATCTTTTAGCATCTTAATCGAGTTGGCATTCGTATGAGTTTCAATATAAATACAACCTTTTGTTCATCTACATATGCCGAAATTTAGAGAGAAAATATATTGAGGATTAGCTTTAATAACTTTGAGAGTCAAATCATAGTTAGTGATTTTAGTTTGTAATCCTCTTTTGGTTTTTAGCTTCTCTTGTACATTACCTTCTAGTGGTGGAACCACTCCGTAAGTGATTTGCTTTGCTTTCTTTATTCGTGTTTTATGCATTCAAATTGTCTTCTTTATTATTCGATCCGTTTTCCCCACATTTAGTTATTGATAAAGATTTCACATTTTGATTTTGTCTTCAAATAAAATTTGTAGCTTTATTTGTTTGGAACTATGTGACACCCCCCATAAAGCCAAGCTCATCTACTCAATTTGGATGGTTTTCATGGTTTAGGAGAGGGGAGAAACTCTTGAGAAAAGATGGAAAGAAAGTGGCAAATGGAAAGAGGTGAATGAGGTAATAAAAAAAATGAACATTTTACACCAATCATGTTTAAATACAAAGTGAATTACATTGTTGATCCTTTATTTTGATTATTTTTGGTCGTGATCCTTAAAATTCAATAATTACAATAATGGTCCACGTTTAATGTTTTATAGTCCAAAATAATCCATCGAATTAACACCATTATATAGATTCCGTTAAATAAAGACATGTGATCCTCACATGAGGGTAATTTAGTCTTTTACCTCTCCCTTAATTTTATAATAAAAAATAGAAAACAAATTAACATATAATATCAACTTATTTTCATTAAATCAAAAGCAGCTTACCCCAGCTCTCGTCTAGACAACCCACCTTACCACCAGAGAGGACCAAAAATCAACCTCTCCAAAACCAAATCAGTCCTCCCGATCCCCACCGAAAATCCTAGGAACAATCTACACCCAGTTACTGGTCCCAGTCCCAGGACCGGCCCAGTTATGAAAAAAAGAAATTGAACTTTTTTATACAAGAAGGTTACACTTGTTTTTATGACTATGATTTTTAAAATTTAATATTGAAATACACTTTAAACCATAGCCGGTGGTCCCAACCAATCACAGGCCAGGCCCAATTTGGCCATCTCTCTGTCTGCTGCATTCACAAATAAAAGAGTGTAAAAATTCAATCTTTACCATTGGGGCAGGACCTTTTCATCCCCATACGTACATTCAAAAACAGAGATTTGCAAAAACATTTAACGATTTCAATTCTAGGGTTCTTGTTCTTGGTGCTCCCACCCTGTAGAATCTAAAAACTTGACATGTATTCAAGTTATCATCCATCAATGATATCAAAGAAAGCAACAAATATTACTCTCATGGCAAACAAATGGATGTTATCCTTTTACTTCCATGCCCACCTCCCAAATTCATCCAATTAGAAGCTTCGGTTACAAACGCTTTGCTGGGCAGCAAGTACCAGCACCAAACCCTTCCGTGTACGCCGTATTTTTAAACATTGTCTGAAACAGATTATCATACAGCATAGGTTATGCAATAAAATTTGATGATCGTTCAGACAGTAAGCAAGTCATGATGAGTACCAAAAACCATGATTCACAGGAATATAATTAATCAACAAGTTTATGTAGCAGATGGCAGATTAATGTCAATGTAAAACCAAACCAAATGAATTCATTAAGTCCCACTTGAAAGTAGGGTCCGGAAGGGGAAGAATGTAGACAGACCTTACCTCAACTACTAGGATCGAGTTTCCGTGAAAGAACCCCAGCTTGTGCAGGACGCACGATGTGTGCAAACAGGCAATAAGATGGGTAATCAGGAGGGAAAAAAATGTGTGCATGATTCAATTCAATGGTGTACAAGCAGACAATTTAGTAAGGTAAAACATGTATTAGAAGTATATATATATATATATATAGCAACTTAAAACATGTACGTATGACCAATAAGAAAGTCTAGTCAGGTCCCCTATCACGCTCATCTATCCCCACAATGAGCCTATTCATATCCCTCTATCCTCTGCTGAATCAACACCCTCTACCAGATCCTACTAAAAATCGGCCACTCTAGTCCTATACCTCCAAAAACTCCCATCAGAGGTCGAGTCCTCAGAAATGCCTAAAGCTACCATGCCCACCCTAAGTTGCTCATCCAACATTACTCCTAGGCCTATCCCTCCTCACCCTTCCACCATGACCCTCTTCATGGGTGTTGTTATCCGTCTCTTATAGACACACTCAAACGACCTCAATCTACCCTCTCTCAATTTAGGCGTGGCCCCTAGTTCCGACCGGAAAACTTCGTTCGCAATCCTATCTAGATTAATGTCGATGTGTTGATAAAATTTCATGAAACTGACCTACTACAAAGTACATATAATATTGAAAAAGAAGATACATCTTTCCAATGCCAATGGAACTTTTAGGAGTAACTAAAAAGCCTAAAAGGAAGAGAAAAATGCCTTTTTATTTGCAGTTCTATCTTTATGAACTGATGCTTCATAGCTTCAAGAGACCCAACTACCTTAATGACCAAAACATGGTTCAGATTCCCAGGTCATGATAATGATCTAGTTTCCTAATCAAAACAACTATCCCTTTTAGTACAGATATATGCTAAAACATAAAGCAAAATACAAAAGGTTGTAAAGGTGAACTCCTAAAGCCAGGACATTAACAGCATCAGTCTAAGTGTTAAATGAGAAGATAACTGCATATAGCTTCTGTTTTAAATACTTGGAGTTATTAATTTTACATGCTTATAATGTTGGCCTAATATTAATCTTCATAATTTTCATACGAATTCATATTGTTAACTTTTTGCCCACAACATACTCTATTGTCATTGCAGCTTGTTTCTATTTATTTCCACTTCCATTATTTGATGTTATGAGACCATTTTTTACACCATAACAGGGCCAGAGGCTCCTGATAGAAACCCTAACCTTATGACATAAGCAGTTGCAGCCAACTGATTGTAGCGCCACTGCTTCTGACAGAAGAGGTGCCACCATTGTCAACTATTGCTCAAGTAACTACACATCAGGTGTCAGTGTCATACTCTTGTTTGATTTTGTTGCTTAATTCAGAATCATTTGTCATGAGGTGGTTGACATTCTCTATTCATCGCCACTGGTCATGGTGATAACTCATCTCCCCAAATCACTTTGCAGTCTTGGTGCTTGAACCCTCCTCAAGATTCAAGAATGCTAAGTCGGCCTCCTCAAAGAGGACTTTACTTAGATCGGCAAAGTAACTCGAACACTCACACAGTCACACTAAAGGAAATGGAGAAGAACAGGAATGTGAGAGCTTGCTATGAAAGAATTCTTGTTGCAATGGATGCTTGAGGGTTTACAAATGACTACATTAACCTTATTTATACTTGCTCAACCACCAAATGAATGATTTTGATTGAACTACATCAATGGCTAAGATTGAGTGCCTACACATGTTCCATCAATATTTTACACGATGAAACAACTAGAAAGTATAGACAAAAGAGTGTTCCGTAAGCTTTACAGAAGTTGAAGGCTGGATGGGATGGGGTATGTCAAGTAAGGTGCCATGCAATGTGCTTACTAACCTCCGTCATGGAACAACCTCTGGTTAGCTATGACATGCTGTTCGGTCTCCAAAGATAATATTGATCCATAAGCTGATGTTCTCAAGTGCTGTCATAGTTGATTTCAGGAGACAATACAAGGGAGTAGCTCAGTCATTGTTGATTTGAGAAGTAACCCTTACATAGTTGGTCTGTGGCTAAAGCTCGTGGGACAATTCATCGGTCAGTCATGGACTTAGGCACTTGACTTGAGAAATCAATTGATCTTCCATTTTTATCGTTCTTTTGGTGTTTTTCTTGTTGCTGCTAGTTTAATAGGTCCAGAAGTCTTGTAGATGGTTCATTCATTTGATTCATGTGCCATGTTTTGCTTTACCAGTTGTCTCACACTATTTGTTATATTTTGTTAGAAATAAGAGTAAAACAAAGAAGCTAATAGTATTTTGGAGATGCTAATATGACGTCCTTACAGCTTGTGATTGCTCAGACAGCTATGCCCTTTGCTTCAATTTAGTATCAATAATCTATTTCTTATAGTTTTTCGAAAGGTGTATGTCAACCAATATCTGGGTTTTGTTGTTAGGAGACTTCCATGGCAAAATAACTGAGGTTTCATCCCTCCGGGTGTGGTTTTGAGGTGGTGGTGTTTTTCTCTTTTTTGTGGTTATAAATTGCCGAGGTTTCGTCCTCTCTCCTTAAAATAACTGAGGTTCTGGTATGGCCTTGGGCAAGTTCACTAGTTTGGATTTTCTCAATTGTCTCGAGCACTTTCCAGGCAGAAACATGTAGACAAATTAGAAAGGATAAAAACAGATTATGAAGAATAAAAACAGAACAATTTACAACCACAAGTTTTGATGTTGTCTTTTTGGATTGCAAACAACTTGGTTCATGTCTTCCCCTTAAAAGTAGTCATCTGGATATGTTGTTCTCAAGGATTCTACAGGGAAGTCTTTTATATACAGATTAATAGCAAACTAGGATTAAAGGTTATTCAGAGTCACGCAAGTCGATGTATGGCATGAGGTCCATGATAGGTATCACAGGTTATTTGAGGTAATCTTATACCATATAAAAGAAAGAGAAACAAAGTTGTCTCTCTTCCTGCATGCAACATATGAGTTGACAACGTTACATCCTTTGACACTGCAACTGGGAGATCTCACATCTGGTTTGATAGAAATGTACTTATGACATGCAAGCTATGTCTTCAAGAATCAAATGTTTTGTGAGCACAATCATGTATTGTCGGTTAATTGCAAAGAGAAATGGTTGATACATCTGCCTCAATGCCTCTCACTGCTTGTATGCTATGCTGTTATATCGGTCAGAATACGAAATATCGGTCAGGACCGATATTCGATATATCGGTTATATCGGTGATATATCGGTGATATATCGGTGATATATCGGAAATAGCGGTTAACATAATATTTCTTAGAATTATATATATAATATGCATTAATTAGAGTTTAGAAATATAGTTTCAAAAGTAAAACATCACATAATTAAAGTGTTCAAAATTTTGGGCTTTTGTTATTCCATGGGCCTAATTTTTTGGGCTAAATTAGGTCTGAATCTGAAATCAGTGAAGCTTCCTTACTCCACAACGTCGTCTTCTTTCTTGAGTTAATCACGAGTTCACGACTAACTTCAGACTTCTTCTCACAACTTCGACTTCTTCTTCTTCTCACGGCTTCGAGTTCACGTTCACGGTCTCTCTTC